ACCATAATCATTTTATTTTTTTCTTTCACAAAAGTCAAAAAAAACAAAAAAAACTTATCCCAAATGAGGCTTTTGAGTCCCAGACTAAGACCTTGTTTGGCATGTAAGTGCTTAGTCTAAAAGTTAAAAAATTATTAAAAAAAATCAAAAGCTTATAACTTATACTAAAATGTCAAAGATTCTATTTTTTCTTTACTTTTTGTATATATTTTCGTAAAAAATTAAAAAATCATTATAAATATACTAATTTTTTTACCTCATATTTTATTCAAAAAACTAAAAAAATATTAAAATAATTTATTCTCAAATGAGATTTAAAATAATCAAAAAAAATTAAAAAGGCAATGTACATCCCAAACCAACTCAAAGTTCAAAGGTGAAAAAAACAAAAATCGTTCAACTTAGGATCAAACAAAGTTTATATATTAAAAAAATTGGTCAGTGGACTCGTATCATTTGTGGAAGGTTCCACTGTCATTTAAGCATCAACCATTAAGATTATGTTTGGCATGAATTTTTTGAATTAAAATAGTTATAAAATGATAAATAATTATTTTAAAAAAATAATTAAAAATTAGTTTTGAATTTTTTTATTATTTTTTTAAAAAATATATAAAAAATATGAGAGATAATGTGATTCAAAATAGGTTAAAAATTAAAAGATAACTTTTAATTATTTTTCCAAAATAACCTAAAATATGTTTAAAAAGTCAATAAGATAAAATGTCACATCTAAATTATAATTATTTTATTTTTTTCTCACAAAAATAAAAAAATCTATCTCAAAAATAGTTTTTTAGTCCCGGACAAAAATAACAAAAAAAACCCAAAACAGCAAGCGACATACCAAACGATGGCTAATTAACATAAACAAAGAGAATATCGTCGTTTTAAAAAAAAAATAATTAATTTAATTTAAATTTTTTTAAAAAAAAGTGGAGGTGTAGTGGGAAAATGAGTGATTGATGTGACTCTGCACAATAGTCACTGTTGTAGGGTTATATTAGGATATATTAAGTAAAATATACTTGTAAAAAATTAAGTTGATTGGATATCATTAACTATTCTATCGAATTACATTTGTATCCAAAAAATAAATGATAAACATGATTTGAATTATAAAACTAAATAAAAATGTGAATGGATGAAAGGGTTAACAATATCTGACGAACTTGACTTTTTACAGATATGTTATACTCTTTATACTCTAAACAACAAATAATTTAAATTATCAAAATAAATTCCGAAATGAATCCGGCCAGGAACAAAGGGAGCATGGGCCTAGGAGCGAGACATGCCCCTCCTCAACTTTCTAAAATCAATGTTTTAGTATGGATTTATAAATAATTCTTTCAATTTGTCCCATTTAAATTTGAATATATACTCTTATATTTTTTTTTTATTCTAAAATAATTTTTATAATTTGTACTATTCAAATGTTTATTTTATGATAAAATCACTTTTATGATGTTATAAAGTTTATCTTTAAATTTTTTTTTCTATTCTTTTTTATTATGCTTGGTAAATTTGTTTTTATTGATATTTTTTTTGCCATTCTGTGATGAATATATGTATAAATATAAAAAATAATTACTTGTTTTATTGATGAAATCTCTCAATAAAATATGTGCTTTTGTTTGATGCGGAACATTACAATCTAAATTAATGTCATAATTAGAAATGAAGTTAAGTTTGTTAGGGTCAAAGCACGACGGGGTGAGTAACACTATTATAGACATAATATTTTACTTTACTATTATTCTTTCTAAACTAAAATTCTGCCTCCACTATATATGACCTCACAACAATAATGATTATGCGGAGGGCACAACAATCACCCTATTTTTGTTGTGGTGTAGTCCACCTAGTGGAACCTATTAGAGCCTTCGTATCAAACTAAATAAAATCATTTTTTAGCTAAATTAGTGATATTGTTCATAAAAAATGGACTGCATCAGTCTCGCTATTATTCATCGTTAATATACGAATGCTATAGTATATTGTTACAACAAGTGAGGTACTGTTCATCGCTACAATAGGCAGAGTTGTGTATTACCGAACGTCCGGACGGCAACCTGCTGGTCAACCGGTCAACGACAAATTTTTTTTTTTTAACATTTCCTTTAGTTTTACCTTTTGTAAAACATAAGAATTGTTTGGTTCATAACTCATCAATTTAATTATTGAAAAAAAAATAACAAATATTTTAATAGGATTGAATTAGAATAAAGAGTTTGATTCAGTGGGATGACTAGCTAAAATAAAAAAAAAAAATGACTTTTTAAATTATAATTTAACTAAAATTTTGAAGAGTCTAATGCTGATGATACTCTCATTGATTCATTATCATTCGCTTTGTTTATGAACAATGCTTCAAAAAATGAATTACAAAATAATCTATAAATAATAAAATTATGTTCTTAACATTAATGTTTGTTTAATAAAATAATCAAAATAATCGATATTTATTATAATCACTTCATTGCATTATCTTAATTTTCAAATTTTTTAAGACAAGTATAATAAAAATAGAGAAAATTAGTGAAACATGCCTCTCTAATTTTTTGTAGTAGGAGAGTCTAAGATATATTTTTTTATTAGTTAAGGTCCCTTGATTATTTTTTTAAAATTTCTCTGTGATCATATCAGAGACATTTCAAATTTTTTTGTGTCCGGGCCGAAATTTCTTTGAGTCAGGCAAATTTTTTTTGAGCCTGGTGAAATTTAACTGAGTCGAATTTTTCTTGTAAAATGTTGAGGGACCTTAACTACTATGAAAATATTATATGCCCTTTATCTTATAAAATCTTAATATCAGACTTTAAAAAAATTCCATAAAAATATGGGTTAATAATTATTAAATTAATTTAATTTTTTATATAAATAATGTACAATAAATATTTAAAAAATAAATTGAGTAAATCATTAAATCAAAATATAGCTGCGTTGGGCATAAACTTTTTGGGCTAAAATAGTCATAATAAGACAAAAGAGGCTAAAAAGTCAATAAAACAAAATATCATATGTAAAACATAATCAATTTATTTTTTCTCTCACAATAATAAAAAAAATTCATCTCAAATAAAACTTTTTAATTCCAAATTATAATAATCAAAAAAATTATAAAATCAAAAAATCAACTCAAATCTGAAACGAAGATTATGTGATAAGCTGCCATGTTCCACTAGTTTCATAGACCGGAAAAAGAAATTTTTGTATAAGTCTTTCTCGCCAAATGTGATATAGAATAATAAAATTATAAATTAAAATTTATTAAAATAATAAAATATAAGTCACATAAATTTTAAAATATATATATAATTTACATGGAAAAAATACACAGTTTAAAAATGCATAGAAAAATGCTGATGTTTTTATTATTATTTTTCTTATGTTTATAAAAATTTTGACATGTTGAGCTTCTATTTCTTGTTTTTCTAATCCCTTCAAAAAAAATTAAAAAAAAAAAAAAAACAACAACAACAAAAACAAC